TGCTTCTTTTCTTTCTTTCTTTATATATATATATATATATATATTTATATATATATTCTTTTTTTCTGCAGCTTTCCTTTGCTCTCGTTTCTCTGTTTTTTTTTCATCTAATGCATTCCTAAAGATGAACAAACCTAAAAAACTTCATACAAGAAAAAACGGAATCGAGCACAAGACTATTCCATGGGTTTTGTTTAATTACTTTAATTAAACTAATCTAATCACATCTTCCCAGTCTTTCCTCCCTAAAAATCTAATTCAATTAAAGAAAATATATGAAAACAAAACAGCCATGTTGGTAATGACGCAAAGTGATAAACAGTACACATATTATCTTAAATCATCAACTTAAGTGCATTAGATAAAAATATGAAAGGCTACTACCAACTTTCTCCAGATCCGTTGCAGAAGGAAACAGTTTAACCAGGAAACCCAAGCAATTACCGAAAAAAAAAAAAGAAGAACATGACAGAACAACACCAAAAATATTAACAATGCACACCTGAAAAATATGAAAAATCAAGCTTTATTTCCTTGAAGTTCTGGTTACAAGCTGCTGCACTTTCTCTCAATCTCTCCAATGTTCCTTCCAGGCCCGCCAATTCTCTTCCCTTCTCCCTCGATTTTTATCCCAAATTTCCCTCAAATTTTCCTCTCCCAAAAGCCGAAGGTGCCCCCCTTTTATACAGAAATAGAGAGGACTCCAATCCTTTTTCTAATTCTAAATTCTAATCCCAATCTCCAAAATTACAGATAATAATCTAATCCTATTTGAAATTGGAATCCTAAAATTAATCTAGTCTTTGCACATCTTCCCTCTTTTAAGGCTAAATTCATACACTCCCAATTTGAATCGACTTCGAAAATCTTCTGCGACTCTTGATAAGGACTTTAAATCCGAAAATCTCTTCTTGTGTTGTTGTGGTCTATCCAAACTTTGAATGGACTTAGAGATAAATCAAGAAGAATTTTGTGAAATTTTGGAGAGGGTCGGCAGCAAAAGGAAGAAACGAGATTTCTGGGAAGCTAGGGTTCGATAGAGCCCTGGGCTTTATTTTTATTTCAACTTACAGCAAAAACGACGTCGTTTTTCTAGTTCTTCATCTCAGCATCAAATTAATATTTTAAAATTTTATTATGTAATTATAACCATACCTTATCTAAACATCATAAAATTTAAATTTAATACAATTTACTCCTAAAAATATAAAAAATAAATCACCACTATGTTACAATGGTTAGAATTTTTTATTTATCATCAAAACAAACTATATACTCCCTCTACTTCATTTTAATAAACATTTTAAAAGTTTTTTTTTTTTGTTTCTTTTTATATATTGTTATCATCTTTCAACGTATTTTATTATTATTTTTTATTTTAATTATATAATAAAAA